GCCTCTGGCTCGGCAGTCGCCGAGCTGAGCTCTGACGGAGGGTCTGGAGCACAGGACCTGTCAGGAGCGGCCGAGGGTGTTTAGCCTGGAGAAAAGGAGACTGGGGGGCGGCTTGTCGCTTTCCACAAGCGCCTGACAGGAGTCTGTGGGCAGGGGGAGGTCGGTCTCTTCTCTCAGCCCACCAGGAGACACAGCCGTGAGCTGCACCATGGGAGGGTTGGTTGGGCAGTCACAGAAAGGGTGACCAGACATTGGAATGGACTGCCCAGGGAGGTGGTGCAGTCACTGTCCCTGGAGGTCACTGGATGTGGCACTTGTGCCATGGTCTATTTGACACGGTGCTGTTTGGACAGAGGTCCGTTTGGTCAAGGTGCTCTTTGGTTGAACTCGATGGTCTCAGAGCTTGTCCAACTTGATTGATTTTGTGATTCTGGGGCTGCGGGATGTGCCTCAAGGCAGTGGGAAAACGGCTTGGAAAACTCTGTTCTCATGAGCAGCGAAAAAGTTTCCAGCAGCTGTACCCAGTGAAGGCTATTTCCATTCCCTTCTCTGGGTGTTTGGGGGCTTTGGGAAGGAAAGGGGCACAACAGAGAGCTGAGGGCTGCAGTGATGGCACGGCAGGAACTCACTGCAGCCACTTGTCCTTATTCCTGCTGGAAGGAGGGTCGGGGTTTGCCTGTAACAACACACACAGGTGTGTCTGAGGTCTCAAAGTGAAACTTGGGAGGACATTGTGCTGGAGCAGAGCCCCTGCTGGAGCTACGGAGGCAGGAGCCCCTAACATAAACTTACAGTGCATTCAATTCAATCTTTTTCTCCTGGGGTAGTTACTTCATGAAACAACCTAAGCTAAACTGAGCCAGTGTCTTTAGTGTCACGAGTTGTTGGCACAGTGATGTAGTTGAAGGTGTCTCTCTCATTAAGGCACAGGGGCGATGGAACTAGATGACTTTGAAAGGAGCCTTCCAACCCAAACTGTTCTGTTTGAGAAGAAGGACTTGAGAGCTACCCTGGGTAACTCACTAGTTAGGCTGACTTAATAATGAGGTTAACTTATTAGGAAAAAACTATGTTTTAATTTCAGACTTTTTATTGTCACTGTAAGACTAGTTATACTTACAGTTTTTGTTGATGTTGATTCATATCTTAATGATTTTAAATGTCTGTTGCTTGCTTTTCTGTTTGTTTGTTTTAATTGGCAGGTACTAGCGGAAGAGGAGGAGGATGGGGTGCCTCTAACCAGAGATACAGCAATGTTATCCAGCCATCTTCCTTCAGGTCTGACACGTGGGGTGGCAGCAGAGATCACGGAAGAGGATTCTTTGGCTCCTCTGACTTTGGATCGTCAGGAGGCAGCAGCAGAAATGCAGACTTTTCACAGAACAGGTTCTCCGCCTTAGCCAGCAGTCAGAGTGTTGCTGATGGCTCTAAAGATGAAGAGGAGAGACTTCTGTAAGTTACAGTCCTGTCTTACTGGAAGCATTTAGAATGAGCAGGTTGAAAGCTCACTGATTTCCTAGAGATAATGCAGAGGACATTATTGTGAGGAGAAAGCTGGGACATGGGAAGAAACATAGAGAACATCACTTCATTTGGGTCTCTGGAATGATGCTGGCATGGGGAGGAAGTGATCCTTGTTTGGCACCTGGGCTGGGCAAACAGTCAACTGTGAGTAAGATGATGTGGTATTTAAGTTGTGATCAGGAGGATAAGGAAGGAAACAGATTTCAGTGCTTGAAAATAAGAAATCAAAGCCCCTTTAAGCAAATGAATTATTTTACTTTGTTTTTTGTCACTTAAGACAACAAATCTTTCTGCCAACAGCAAAACTATTGGTTTCACAGAGGTGTATGTTACAGTCAGCTACAAGTGACCAGCACCTGCAGGCAGGTACTGAGAAGCAGCAGCGTGATTTCCCAAAGAAGCAAGGCTTTGGAAACACTTTCCATTACTTCTTTTGAGATTACGTTAAGAAAACAATTGGTTTTCATGGTAGCAGGTTTTTGACTCTAAATTTAGATTCAAACCAATTGTTTGAATTGGTTGTTACTGGCATTTTTGGTTTGACCATGCAATTTCACCTTCATCTGTGATTTTGGTTTTTTTTAGTGAATGTGTAGTGAAAGACATGGAGATTTGGGAATCTTCTGGACAATGGATATTTTCATGTTACTCACCAATGAAAGAAAAGCCGAATGTCTCAGGTAGGTAATGTTTTCAGTGTTGTGTATTGCTGCTGTTGAGGATGTTTCTGTGACTTGCAACATTGTTGTACCTCTCAGCAACCATTTGCCAGGTGATGATTTGCCTTGTCATACAACAGAAAGGAATATTAGTGGAGGGAAAATTCAGTTTGGGCGTTCACACCTCTGACACTCTCTAATGAATGGGTTTTTTTTGTCTCTGACTATAGCTCTCTTAAGAGAGACAATGCATCAGTCTCTTTTCTTGGAGGTTTTTGACTCTTCCTGTCCTTGCAGGCTTTTCAGATGTCTCGCCAGAAGAGCTGCGTGTGGAGTATTATGACAGCAGAGCAAACAATATCGTTGGGAATTATGTAAGTATTTATCAGATGTTGGCTGGTGTGGACTCTCTTTGGACAGGACTTGTTGCTGTTCTTCAGGTGGCAACTCTTGACTTATTTATCTCCAACTCTAGGAAATTATCAGAATGCCAAAATATTTTTCAATTCCTGTGCATCAAAGTGAATGCAAAAATAGACACTCTTTGACTGAATCTTGTCCCTGCTCCTGTGTGTTATTTGTAGAAGTTACTTGAATCCTGTCTCAGAAGTTTAATGCCTTATACACTATTAGGCAGTTTGATTGTTATAGGTGGTTATTTGGTGCTTTAAATAGAACGTGGCCTTGTTCTTTTACATACCTTTGTTGTAGGGAATTAATGATGAAAATAGCAGCTACTTATTTTCTGGAAACAGATATGTATGTACTCATTTGGAAGTAAGGCATATGTTTTTATATAAAACATCTCTCAGTGTGTATATATCATTCCTCCCTTGTAGTCCTGTCAATACCAAGGAAGCTAACAGTTTATTGTTGTGCCAGGAGAGAAATTAGGCTGTTAGACAGATGCAAGTAATTCAAATTAATTCAAACTACATTGCACTCTTTCCTATTCTGGGTTCTGTGTTACAGAAGGAATTGCTTTTGTCCCCATTCGTGCTTCATAGATTTAGATTTACCAGAATCACATTTTTAGAGACAGGAGACACATATTTTTTTTTAAATTTCAATTAAAATAATAATAAACAACAAATAATAAGCAATCTGCTCTCCATGGCTATTTAAATAAATAAATAAATAGTGATCTCATCAAAGCAGTAAATGCAAGTTTTCCTAACTCTCGGTGTATAGATGATAACTGTATGAAACAGTTCTCTTACAAGATGTTTAAGTACAGCATGTCTTTTCCGTGTTTCTATTCTTAAACTGGGTCAAAATCTGAATTTTCCAGTTTGTTGTACAGGAACAGATACCAAGCAACATGATCTTCCAGCATGTGACTAGACACAAAAGAATTATTGATGTTTGTGGTGTAAGACTCTTTTGAAAAATGAAGGAATTTGTCTACAAAAAGATTACTCACTCAATTTTTGCAGGCATTTGTGACACTAGGTGTTTTACTTGTCTAGGTTTTAGAGAAAATTCAATTAGGCCAGGCATCAAATTAGGTGTGTTGCTAAACTTAAGTATGAATGTCGGAAGTACGCATTTGGAATTCCTGAAAGGTTGTTTGAAGACTTTTTATGTTTTTCCTTAGTAGTAAATCACAGTTATCAAGACACAGATACCATTTATTGCTGCACTGTTCTGTGCAGTTATCTGATGGATCACACTCAGGGGGTTGATTTAAATTAGGGAAGGTAATTTCATCAAAAGTAACTATTTTAGGATGATACAGTGGAACTGTTCTGAATTACAGTGGTTTGAAATTAGGTGGGGTTTTTTCAAAAAATGTGGAAGAAGCAAAGGTAAATCTTAGGACTTTAGCCTAGTGAGTGAGTGCATAAGTGGAAAGGCCAGATTGTAGAGTCTGTTCTCATATATATAAAACTTACATATCTTGTTTTGTTTCATTTCCCAACCCCCAGCATCTAATTCAGAAAAAAATAGAATTTGGATTTGAAAAGTCCCAGAACTTGTCTGAATGTTACTCCCATGTAAAGTGAAAGGGTTGGTTTAAGGACAATAGTAAGAGTTTAAAGGAATTCTCTGTTAAAAATATCAGCTCCTCACGTTGAAGTTTCTGGAAAGAAAATATCTTACTGGGTTACTGAAATTTCTTTTCTAATTCTAGATATCTTTTTTCCCTTCAGTTGCCAGATGACACTTTTGTTTTTAAGTCTTAAATAATAAAATCATGCTTTTATTTCCCCCTTTTCAGATAGATGCTGTTCAGACGTTAGCAGTACAGTGGAAAAATCGGCTACTTCAGTTGAAAGGTTTAAATGCATCCACAAAGGCATCTTTGGTAAGTATTCACAAATGGCATCATGTCTCTGTGCCTGATGTGATTTTTCATGAAGTGGTTTACACATATGTTTATTAAGGCTAAAAAGAGATTTCTGAGATGTGGCAATTGTGATGTGCCACATGGCCATGTTCTCAGGACTCCTGAAATCAGTGAATCCCAGGTGCTATTATAAAGCCCTTCAGTTAACTGGGGGAAAACGTCCATAGGGATGGTTCCATGGTAGCAAGGCAGCAGCTGGATCCCAGCTTTGGAATACTCTCATTGCAAGCCCCATGAAAACAACCAGAGCTTCAGTTTGGCATCTGGCTGTGTACATGACCAGGAAGGGGACAATCCCCACCACACCTTTTTTTCCCATGTGCGGATGTTGACTTTTCCAAGAGAGGATCAGCAGAATGGAGCAGAATTCCCCTCCAGGACACCTTAGGATAAATGGAGCATTTGGCCAGTGTCAGAATTGAGGGAAAGGTGGGAGAGAAGCCTTTGGATACCATTTGAAGACAGAAAGAGTCATTGGTTGGGAAGGTGACAAACACTTGTGAATGGAGATGGGTTTGCAGAAGCAAATGCCTGAGTTCAAGCCCACATGAAATAATCAGGGAGGCAGAGGAAGTGGCTCTCTTTGAGTGCAGGCTGCATGAAGTGCAGGGAAGGTTGAGTGATGTGATGCCAGCCCTTGGTCTGTTCGGTGCTGAGGGTGGACAAGCAGGATTTGGGCTTTCCCACAGGAAAGGGTGACAGACACAGATGTGCTGAGGACAGGGAAGAGAGTGAGTCAAAGCTGTGCCCTAAGTACAGTCACAGAGCACAACCTGGAATTGTAGGAGATGAGAAATTGAGCTCCCAGGGGGGATCAGGTCATGGACTGACAGGCAAAAATCGATCAGTTGTTACAGGTTTGCATTTCTGGAGGGTTTTACAGAGAAGAGCAGGTATGGCCTTAGAGCACTTAGAGCTCTGCAAGAACAGGCAGTTGTGAGGAGTGATCACTGTCCAGCATGGTTGGAGTTGGGTTCAGTATGACTGGGCAGCTCTGGTTTTGTTTCAACTAGCTAGTGAGAGAATATTCCCTGTTTTGGAATCTAGTTTTCATGTATGTCTCTGGAATTTTTTCAGCTCTCTGCTTTCAAGGCCACAGGCACTCAAGCAGCACCTGCCTTTGGAATGGGAGGACAGCAAACCTCAGGCTTTGGGCTGTCAAGTAAGTTCCCATTCCAAGAGCCAAAACATTTACACATTTTCTGTAGTTTGCTGCTGCATCTTTGCAATACAGCAGTTGTTTAGTAACCCTTGGGTATGAATTCTAATATTTTTTGTCAATTCTCTGCTTCCAGGCTTTCCTGTGAGCAGCAGCAGCAGCAGTACCAGTGCCAGCAATTTCTCCTTTAAAGCCAGTTCCAGCCTCATCAGTGCAGCACCATCTGGGAGCAGCCCTGCTGCTGGGAGCTCTTCTGCTGCTGCAAATCCTCCTGCATTTGGGACAGCATCCTCTCCCAGCACAGCCCAGTCCGTCGGCTTTGGCAGCCCGGCCGCTCCCTCCGCAGCCTCCTTCTCCTTCAGAGCAGCTTCCACAGCTGGTGCCTTTGGGACTTCTGGCTTCTCAGGCTTTGGCAGTGCTTCTGCTGGGAGCTCTGCAAGCAGCCCTGCAGCAGCCTTTGGAGCCTTTGGTGCCACCGTAGCCCCTTCTGGCTCGCCCTCGAGCGGAGCTTTATTTGGGCAGGGCGCTGCACATCCTGTCACCTCAGCGTCCGCTGCGGCCGCCAACGCCAGCCCTGCCTCAGACAAGTTATTCACTCCCAAGAGCGAACTGTCAGCTGAAGAGTGGCAGCAGTTTGAAGCAAAGGAGTTCACAATTGGAAGGATTCCTCTGAAGCCACCACCAGTAGAACTTTTAAATGCTTTTGACCTTGTAAGTTTATTCAGAAGTAACATGTTTTGAAATGAAATAAATTGCTACTTTTTTGTTTCATCTCTGAAGTCTCCAGCAGGAATAAAATTACAAATATAAACATGTGGACTTTGTATTTTATAGTTTATTGGTTATTTTGCGACAGGCTTTTTACACCTGAGAAATGAACTGTTGAAAATAAAATGGAGTATTTCCTTCTATTTGTTGTCCTGGGGAACAAATATATATTCTGGGGAAACACTCTTTACAAATTGGTTGTGTCAAAAGGAACAGTGCTTCAGTCAAGTATTTGCAGCCTACTGTGAATGGAACCCTAGACAGACACATGCAGTTACAGTGCTTTTTGTTGGACAGCCTTTTCTTACACCTCTTTGAATTGTTTGTGCAGTGCGTCGAGAGAGAGGGATGGCTCCTGTGTGGTCTGTGCCACACTACACTTTTCTGTCCCCTGGGAGCCAGTTCCTGTGCCACCTGACACAATTCAGCTGTTGCTAGTAGTTTCACCTGTGGTCACCAAGCCTGCAGGATTGTCATATACAGCCCTGAAAGCATTCATCCTGAAGAAGGAGCTTATGGGTCATTATTTTGGTGCCTCTTAGGTGAAACCTTCCAAGTAGTAGCAAAACTGCCTTTCTGATGGAAGGAACGATGGTGAATGATGGCATTTTGTTGTCAGGTTCTCAGCACTTGATAGGTGCATAACTAATGTTACCTCTCCTGAAGTCATGATGTTAAGACATCAGTTTTGTTGCCAAGACACTAAAGCAGGAGTCAGGAATCTTCCAGAGGATATCCTGGACTCAGGGAAGGAGAACATTTGCTCTTGACCAGGCCCTCCCCTTAGTAGTCTATAATTGCCAGACCTCATCTTTGAGAGGAAAGCAAAAGTCTACTTCAGGATACACATAAGTCAATCAGTGGTTTCTTTAACACTTGTAGGTAACATTTCTACATAAAACTTCACCTGTGTTGTGTGTCCCACCACAGGTCCATCAGAGACTGGCTTGCTAAAAGAGTGGGAATGACTGGAACAGCATCTAGAATGGCAGGCTGGGGGCAGACCCTGCAGCCTCCATGGAGATGCAGGTTCCTCAGTGTGTGCTCAGTGCAGGTGTAGCAGAAATTGCAGGAGTTGCATATCTCAGCAGCCCATTGCTGCTAAACTGCTCTAGGAGCTTTTCAGGCTTAAAAGCGAGCATGTGCTGTTTTAAATGGAAGTATTTTGCTTTAAAAAAAAACCAAAATTGTAAGGCCATAAAAATCTGGATATTCTCCTGCACACACCCAAATAGTATTGACTAGATGTTCAAGCATCCTTCTAACACATGGAAACCTAGAGGAAGAAAGGAATTTTTAAGTGTTAGGTCATATTGCCATTAATAAACAAAGATTAGGTGAGGTATTCCTAATTCTGATGACAAAAAATAAAAAAAATTGATCAAACATGGTTTTTAAAATCATCTCCTCACCTTTAAATTTTTTATAAAATTGCTGTTACAGAGGTACTAGGATTCGGTGTTTTCACAAATGGGCTTCTGAAAAGATGGCAGGGAGCAGTGTGATGTGACTTACCTGGCAAAAGGCAAGCTGGATGTTTGGCTGCAGAAGTAGGGATAAGGATAGAACAGAAGAGAAGGGAATAATATTACTCTAGGGGGCTCACTAAACTGCAGAAATTAGGCAACAATTTATTAGACCAAAGAAATCTATCCCAATATGTGCTCTGTGTTTCTTCTTTCTTTTTTTCTTTTTTTCTGTTCTTCCTTTTCTGCTTTTGGTATACTTTATATCAAAGTCAGCACAAAGGAGGCTAAATAATACCTTCTATTAGCTACAATTCTTTCATTTTTTAACTTCTCCTTTTTGCAACTGTGTTTGTTTGTTTGTTATTTGGTATATGGCTGCTCCCCAGAAAGTGATAATATCATGGTCTGGCATATGAAAACATATATAGGGTGGCAGCAAACTCACAGATGTCACTTACTGTATTTTGATTTAGAACAGGAAACATGAGGGGGATGTCCAAGCAAAGATGTGTAATGTCCCCTGATTAGCTGAAAATCTTGGTCTGTGAAATAGGCTGGCACATTCAAGCTCTATGTGATATTTTCAAGTACTTCCCTTACTTTGAAATAACAGGATTTATGAGTCACTGAAATTCGTGCAGTGTGGTGCAAACAACTAATTTGAAGAATGAAGTTTTGGTTTTCAAGATATCCTGGATTAATCCCCAGACAGCAGCACTTGAGGCTGGCTGTATGCAGGAGAAAAACTCTGCTGCCCCAGCTGAGGAAGCAACCCAGCATCTAACAAATGGAATTTTCTCTGCCCTTTTCCCTCACATACTAGCAGCATTGGCAGATCTCAACATGTGATATAGCATCTAAGAAGGAAAAGAAAAGAAACCTGGGAACCTCAGAAAGCATTACAAACAATTAAGTCTTAAAAATGAAAGATCACAGTAGCCCCATGCTCTGCAGTTTCACAATGTGCAGCAGCAAGTGGCAGGGTAGCCTTACACTGAATGAGGGAAGATGGACTGCAAATTATCAGCTGAGTGGATTTGAGCCTCAGAGAACAAGCTAAGGGCACCCACAACAATAAATTAACAACCAGAGGGCTGAGGAAAGAAGAGCTTTCATAAATGTGCCTGGGGAGGGAAAGGAATATGAAAATCCTATTAATACAGGAACACTGAATTGAGATTGATAAGACTGAAATGGTGGAAATCTATTTTAAAAGTACTCAAAATGAAGGATGGTTGAAAATCAATAAGGATGTCATGCAGTAGCTGATGAAAACAAGTAAGAAAATATTTGTGAAATGTGAGCTTACTGCAGCATAGTGGAAGTACAGATAATTTGCTGTACAGGTCAGTAAAGGAATCAGATAATGGACTTGCTCCAGTTTTGGTAAGCGATATCACTCAGATTAGTGGCAGAGCACCAGGGATTTGCTAGCAGACTGAGGAAAAAACAAACCTCAGTGAGCAAAGGTACTTTATTTGTTGACAGTTACAAATAATTTGAGGAGATTGCAAAGACAGATCAACTGGCTTTTAGTAAGGCATTTGATACAAGCATTTAGGAGGTTTCAGAGGTTTATGTGACCATGATTAGGGTTAGTGATTAATCAGAAACATCTATGAGTGAATGCTTTTTGTTTCTACTCCAGCTCCCATATCCTAGATAGAGAGAGATTTACCTGAGCAACAGCGGAGGAAAAAATCACAAATTCTATTTAGACAACTTGTCTAAATTGGTATCAATTTAAGTAGCTATCTAATTATATTTGAGCCAATATAAGCCTAATGGAAGCTGAAGGAAAAGACTGGACTTCTAGTGTCCAGAGAGTGGGAGCAACCTGTGGAGTAGGAATGTTCTGACAGTGGGATCTGAAGCCATGCTGGTTCACATCAGGAAGAGGCAGTTTGAGCTGTAGGAATCTCCTATAGCTACAGTAATGCTGTGCTTAGCTCTGAGCCTGCAGCTGCCAGAGAGCTGCAAGAGGAGGAGAAGGAGATTCAGAGTGCAAGCAAAGCCACTGGAAATGAGAATTTAGGAGGGAACTTGAGAGCTGAATATTTACTGCTTGGTGAAAGCAGAGGCTGCGACATGCAACAACGTCTTTTTGAAAGGGTGCCCTCTCAGGAAGGAGGAAACAGGACTTCTTTAGTAACCAGAATATTGTGCTACTTTCACAGACTTGTCTTAGACAGGAAGTTTCCCACCTGGAAAAGCCCTGTTCTACACCTCTGTTAAGTTTTTCGTTGGCCAAGCCAACCAAAACATGAGAACCAAGTCCCTGCTTGTCAGGACTAGCAGCTCATGTCCTCAGGGATGCAGCAGTCAGCACAAGTAGACTTGATCAGTTCCTTTGAACCAAAATACAGCAATACTTTCACAGAGAGTGACAGGGTTGCAACACTGAGCATTTGGGGCAGGGAGCTCTATGTGCCTGTCACCTCTCCTGGAAATGATTCAAGGTGCTGGCCATAAACACACAACTTCACTGAGTTTAAAGAGGCAGGTTAACTCTCTAACCCTGAAAGTGAATATGCCTCTTGGTCTTGAAACTCTCACTTGCAATTGCCTGGTTCTGCTGTTAAGAACAGCTAAGTAAAAAGCCACAGTTGTTCTTAGCAGCTCAGACATAGGCAATATGCTTATTTAATCTCCAACACCCTTGCAAATTTCCAGTATGGCACAACAAGCTCCTTGGTGGGACTGACTTCCCTTGCGAAAAAACAAGTCCAGATCTTAAAATGGAGGGAAGAAAAGCAAGCAGAACAAGACTTAAATGTCAGTAGGCTGATGCACATTTTTGTTCAGGTACATGGATTGCTTTGTCTTTCCTCCACAGCCAGTAGGATTTGTTCTTACCATGTGCATGAGGGACATAAGAAACAAGTTCTCTGCCTTTCCCCTTCCAGCAAGCAGCTCTGTTACATTGCTAATTGCATGGCAGTCATCAGAAATGCAATCTGGTGGTTTTAAAGTACCTGCAGCAATTATATCCTGTTCCACCTGAATTTCTATTTGGTTGTGGCAGTGAGTTCTTAGCAAATTAAATACATTCTGGGTAACATCAAGGAAGAACATTCTGTTCTTCGATGGAGCCTTATCTTTGCAAGTCACATGAAATATTCCCATTGCATACGCCCTACAAACTAACTAGTTCTAATTATACCAAATAAACCAACCCTCCTGTGTGAATCAAACAAGCAACATTTGCATGTGTGCACGTAAAACCATGTCACTTCACATTTAAGAGGAGACTGAGGTACAGTTTTGATCTCTGAGAGCTTTTCCATCAGAGAAAAGGCTACCCAATGCTGTGGAGGTTTTCTGACGAGCATCTCTGCATCTCTGGCTTGTGATGCACTTCAGTATTTAAGCACTCTTCATAGGCACATGAAACTTTGTTATTACAGTTTACTTGTGCAAGTGTGGCTTCTCTTGAAGCATCTGCAATGATTAAATAGAACTAAAAGAATATAAAACAGAAATAAAAGTGTATAACCATGGGTTGCATTAAAAAAAAAAAAAAAAAAAGAGGCTGTTATCACTTACTGTTCCTGTATGATAAATAGACAATAGATGAG